GATAGTGAGCACAGAAAAATTTTTTCCCTAAAAAAATGTTCATAGGGACTTTTTTTTTTTTGCTCAGAGTTAAAATCCCCCCCCAAAAAATTAAAAGAGAAGCTGAATGGTAGGGAAAAATCCAAATTTGAACTTCTTAATCTTAATATAAGGTCTTCAAAAGGAATTGTTTAGGCTGTAAATAATGAGTTATATGTAGGAAAGAAAGGATGGTTCTGGTACAGATTGTGTACAGACAGTCCCTGACTTAACGATGGTTTCACTTACGATTTTTGATTTTACAATAATAGTGTTAAAGCAATTTGCATTCAGTAAAAACTGTACTTCAGATTTTGAATTTTGATCTTTTCCTGGGCTGGCAATATGCATCTCCCATGATGCTGGGCAGCATCAGTGAGCCCCAGCTCCCAGCCGGGTGCCCAGTCACAAGGGTCAACGACCGATACTCTGCAAAGGGACTGTGTTACCAGCATTTTTGGGGTATTGTGCTCTGAGCAAGTTTAAAGTAGGCTAGGCTAAACTATGGTGCTCGGTAGGTTAAGTGTATTAAGTGCATATTCAATTTAATGATGTTTTCAACTTATGATGGGGTTATCAGGACATGATCTCATCCTAAGTTTAGGAGCATGTGTCTTCAGAATAAGAAATTGCAGGCAGCAAGACAAGGCATTCAAATCATGGAGCCTCACTTTTTGAGCAAACACGAATGACATTTTGCTGTGGTGGAATGTGAGTTGAAATCATCCATTTTCCCACCCAAAGCAGGAGTCTTGATTTAGATTAAAATCTTACAAAAGTTGGACCCACTTGCAAAAATTTCTATGAATACAGATACTTTATTCTTAAGCCTGGGATAATTTAGTCCAGTGTTTCTCAGACTTTTAAAAGTAGCAGAACCTGTTTTCCAAATCAACACTCACACAGAAGCCCAGACAATGAAATCAATAAGAGAGGAGCTGCCTCGATTGACCCAGGAAGGGGAGTAGGAACCAGCCCTTCTCTGAGGCACCTCTGGAACCTGTAGGTGTGCTACTGAGAAACACTGATGTAGTTGGTTTAAGTTACAACCTAAGGAATTTGTTTTCCAGTTGACTGTTTTTGGACTTTTGTTTTTTGCACTTATAAAATATAATGGCAGAATGTATAGGTAGAAATTTGTTTCAGATATAAGTAGCTTTCCTTAGCCAGCCACATTTAATACTTTCTAGTCCAAGAAAGATCACCAAAAGTATAGATGCGACATTAGAAACCAAGGCTAAGATCCTATACCCTCATACTCCCAGTTACTACATGTGGATGAAAAGTTGGCCAGTGAAGAAGGGAAAAAAAAGTAATTCATGTGAAACATGGAGCTAGAAGGAGAGCTCTGTGGATAATCCCCTGGACCACCATAAAGACAGACAAGAAGGTCCTAGAGCAAATGAAACCTGAAACATGGCTGGAGACAAAAACAACAAAACCGAAGCTGTCCTTCCTCAGGCTCACCATGAAAAGGCAGGGATGTAAGGAAAAGGCTGGGGAAAACAGAAGGCAGCAGGAAAGAGGAAGACCAAACGTGAGACGGACTGACTCCGTGAAGGAAGCCACAGGCATGAGTCCAGAGGAGCTGAGCAGGACTGTTGAGGACGGGCCCTTGTGGACGCCACTCGTTCACAGGGTCCCCAGGAGTCTGAGCCAACTGGATGGCACACTAACACACACAGGCCAAGTTTCCTCCAAGTTCCAGAGTAGGACCTGTCTCAGCCTAGAGTGAGTGTTCAGTAAATGTTAGATAAATGAATTGCTACAAACAATAATCCAGTTCTGCCTGAACATTTCTAATGATTCATTACCTTACAAAATTATTCTTTTTTACTAGTTCTGATTGACAGACATAAGTTAATATGGAAATCAAAAATACTTCTGTTCATGTTTTACCTACTTGTTCTTAGTTTTGCTTTTCAACTAATTTGATCCTTCCTTAAGACAGTGAAGTGTTTGAAGAGTGCTATTATCTCTTTCCTTTTTTTTTTTAATCCTCACTTGAGGACATGCTTGTTGATTTTAAATAGAAGGAAAAAGAAGGGGAGAGAGAGAAAGGGAGAGAAACCTCGTTGTGAGAGAGAAACATTGATCAGTTGCCTGTTGCACATGCCCCAGCTGGACTGAATCCGCAACCTAGGCATGTGCTCTGACCAGGAATCAAACCCACAACCTTTCGGTTTACAGGACATCACTCCAGCCAGCTCAGACACACTAGCCAGGGCATTTCTTTCTTTCCTAATTCCAACCCCTATTTCTTGTCCTACCCACTGTCAGCCACACATATGAGGGGGAACCCCCAAAACGGAAATTCTTTATTAAAAAATGTGTATTTAATCTCACATGTTTAAATTTCAGTCACCTTCAAAGTACTCTCCGTTTAATGCAAGACACCTATCCAGATGTTTTTTCCACTACTCAGAACAGTTTTTGAGCTCGTCAGTTTTGATGCTTTTTAATGCTTCTGTGGTTCTTTTGTTTCACCTCTTGCACATCAGCAAAATGTTTCCCTTTGAGGACTTTTTCTGGCAGGGGAAACAAAAGCTCAGGGCGAGACCAGGTGAATAGGGAGGGTGGGGCGTGGGGATGATCTGTTTTTGGTCAAAAACTGCTGAACACTCAGCGTGGTGTGCATGGGTGCACTCCTAAATCACCCATCATGAAATGGGCAAATGTGTTGGAAGAGTTTTCAAAAAAAATTCACTGAAGCTAAGTGTAGCCTCTCCCAACAACGCTGGCTGGTACACTGATACAGAGGGGCTCCTAGAACACTCACCTAGGGGAGAAAGCCTGTGCTACAGGGGCCCGCCCTCCAGAAGATATTTCCTGGGGGTTTTTTGGGGTCCCCTCTTGTACAATCTTTTTTTCCCTACTAAACAACTTATGTTCTTTCAACTCTCATGTTTTCTAGCGTTTTCACCATCTTCATCATCTTACTGATACATTTTTAGTTTTTCAAGGTTACTCTTAAAATCTTGGGTTGGCTAAAAAGTCCATTTAGTTTCTTCCATAAACTAAGAGACACATTTTTCATTTCCACTAATAACTTTATTGATTTGGATATTTTGAGTATGTCAGCTATCTCCCGTGTGGTATAGCACTGATTGTTTTCAATTAATCTCTCAATTTGATCACTGTCAACTTCAGCTGGTCTACCTGACCCTGGAGCATCGTCCAGCGAGAAGTCTCCAGTATAATACTTCACACACCACTTTTGACACAGTTGATCAGTCACAGCACCTTCTCCATGCACTGCACAAATCTTTTTTTGCATTTCATTTGCATTTTTACCTTTCTGAAAAAAATAAGGTATAATATGCTGAAAATGTTGCTTATTTTCTTCCATCTTCAATATTAAAATGCTTACACAAAAATTCACCAATTTTGATAAGTTTTTTTAAATGCACACTGATATGACATCTATCAGCATACAATCTAACAAAATTGTTTCAAATAAAGTTAAAGACAAATAAGCACTACTAGAGCCATCTTACAGAAAAAAACAAACTTTTTGGCCAACCCAATATGATGCATCTACTGATACCTAGACCTGCAGTATTGGGTAGTAGACGGACCAAAACTTAAGGGTATCTAAGATCTAAATTCAGATCTGTTTGGTACCGAATAAGGACTAGAACCTCTTTTAAACGTGTCTTCAAACCAGCAAAGCTATACAGGTGACTCAACATGATTTGAACTGCACGGGTTCACTTTTACATGAGTTTTTAAAAAATATGTACAGTACTGTAAATTTATTTCCTCTTCCTCATGATTTTCTTAATAATATTTTACTTTCTTTAGCTTACTTTATAAGAAAACACTATATAATGCATGTAACATACAAAGTATGTGTTAATTGATGATGTTATCAGTAAGGCTTCCAGTCAACAGTAGGCTGTTAATAGTTAAGTTTGGGGGGCGTCAAAAGTTATACATGCGTTTTGACTATGTGGGGGAAGCAGGCGCCAGCCTCCCCTAACCCCTACATTATTCAAGGGTCAGCCCTGTTTCTTTAAACACTGTTCAGAAGTGCAGATTTTTTAGTTAAAGGAATAGTCATTGCTAGTTGTTAGATCTTAGTTACATAACTACTGTTAAACTGTTTCACAGACTGTGAAGTACAAATAATAATAGTGCTTAAGCATAGAATTCGAAAGATGGAGATAATGCATACAAAGTGTTATTACAATTCCTGGTCAATGATATCCATTCAATAAATGTTAATTACCATTATTAGTTATTATTGTAATTAATCTGAACACTAGATTTGCAGCCAAAAGGTCTACCACATGAGAAAATCTTTTTTACTGCATTGATTTATTCATTCGTCAAATAATTTACTAAATGCCTATTATGTGCCAGACACTGTGATAAGTAGGCCTCATATTTCTTATCCATAAAAATGGGGGCTAATAATAGTAACAGTTTCATCCCCATGGTATTATTATCAGGATTAAATGAGTGCTTTTCTGTATACCTGAGGTTGTACTGTAATTGTTTGCCAGCTAGATTGATTTCCCAAAGAAGAAGGCATTATGTTATATTCATTCTGTTATTTCCTGGGGATCATGCAAGTCATTGCAGGATAAATTACAGTATAGAATCATGCACAAATTGGACACTTTTTAACATAACCATGTCAAATAATCAAACTATGTGAAAATGCTTTTCACATTGTAAAGGGATGCATAAATCTAAGGTCATTAATTCCACAGTCATGGGAAGAGACAATGTGGAGGTTTTCAGACTCTGTTTCCAAGAGGTCAAGATGCCGGAGATGACTCAGGAATGGCCGGAGTAAGGCACCTACACAAAGGGGAGGTAGAAGTTCCAAACCCTCCCCCAGTACAGTTCAATTAGAACAACCCCATTTATTTTACTTATTTTGCTACTATAAAATAGGTCTAAGCCATTGTATTTTATCCTGTGATGATCCTTGGTCCTTTGTGATACTGATTTTCCCCTTCTCCACTCGACAGACAGATGTTCTGGTCCTGAGCTGTGATCTAATAACAGATGTTGCCTTACACGAGGTTGTGGACCTGTTCAGAGCTCATGATGCATCACTTGCCATGTTAATGAGGAAAGGTCAAGATGGCTTAGAACCAGTTCCAGGTCAAAAGGGGAAAAAAAAAGCAGGTAAGGAAACCAAAGTTTGATTTGTTTATTGGGTTTTAATCATTATTCTTGTCATTCATACTTTCTCTTAAGAAACATTTATTGAAAACTGACTGCAGTGCAGGCACTGTGCCAACAGTTGCTGACATAAAGTCTAATGAGACACAGTTGCTGACTTGAAGGGGTTTATAACTATTGATCAGATTCTGTAAGGTCCAAGAGGCTTTTGTATGCAGAACAAAGTACTCAAAACTATTTGTGCCCTGGCTGGTGTGGTTCAGTGGATTGAGTGCCAGCCTGTGGACCAAAGGGTCACTGGTTCTATTCCCAGTCAGGGAACATGCCTGGGTTGCAGGCCAGGTCCCCAGTAGGGGGTGCACAACAGACAACCACACATTGGTGTTTCTCTCCCTCTTTCTCCCTCCCTTCCCCTCTCTAAAAATAAATAAATAAAATCTTAAAAAAAAAATTTTTAACTGTTTGCATTGTGTTTAAGGCTCAAATGCATATACCTAAGAAACAAAAAAATGTAAATGTTTTTGTAAGAACATTTTTGTTTTGTAAGAAACAAAAATGTTTTGTAAGAAACAAAAAAATTTAATTTAAAATTGAATTTTTAAAAATGTTTGAAGTTTGAAAATTGAATTAGATACCTTTAAGTGATTAAATTTACTGTTATAAATTAGTATGATTGATTCTTTTCAATAGTCTAATCACCCTAAACAAACAAGATAGTCATTAATCATACTTTGTCTTCTTAGGATTACAACATATTTGTGTTTTTATATTTTCCTAAGGTTCTAGTAGTAAGTTAATCTTTTTTTTTAATCTTCATAGAGTTATAGTAATCTTAACAGACCAAAAAGAGCAGGAATAATACTCTGGATCACTCATAGAATTTGGGTTATTGACCAGTTGTTAATTTTAGTTAAGGCATAGTGTCTGATTGCTTTCCCCAGCATATTCCACTGATTCTGTGACTGGGTTACTTTTAAAAACTGAATTTATGGCCAAAAATATGTCAGATCACACTTTTTGTATATGTAGGTTTTAATTTTCCCTGGACTGATGTATTTTTACCCTGGAGTTTTCCCCGGGAATGATGAGTTTTTTAGATTTTGCTTATCCAGCATTATGTAACCCATTGTCTTGTCATTATTACATATTGATGCAGTCTCTTACAATTGCTGGAAGCTAAGTATGATGTCTTACTATCCTCCTCTTAATAGAGCCACCTAGAGCTTTCACAGGATTTGAGTAATTAGTCTGTACTTTTAGCTCTCTTCTTCAGAGCATTTGGTTAACTTATGATTTTGTATTATAGCATTAAAACTTCTTTCTAGTTGCTTTTTGTGATCACTGGTGCAGATTAATTGTTGGATCCTCTTTTTACCTTATTATTATGTATAATCCTCATGTCAGTCATTCCTTTTGTTCTTGATATATTTTCTACTTTTGCAAGGTCTGGTTTGCTTACTCATAATTCCCTGTATTCAGCCAGATAGAAACAACTGTATATCCAGACTTTATAGACAGTTGTATATTTTATAAATATGAAATTTTTATGTACTTCTCTATTTATAATAATTTAAAAATCAAATACCCCATTAGAGTTACTCTTCTTGGTATTAGAACATTTTAGTACATTTCACATTAGCTTTTATCTCTTTAAATATCATTATAAATGCATAGCTTTTTACAATTTTATTTTACATAAACTGTAACTATTGTCTGTCTGCCCATCCATTTTAAAATGTTTTAATGCTTAAGTTTTCACAATTTGGCCAGTAGAAGTTCCTTTAAGCTGGCTCTTCTAGTCTCTTTGAAAAAGTACGATGTAGCCTTGGATGGTGTGGCTCAGTGGACTGAGCCCCAGCCTGGGAGCTGGAAGGTCGCAGGTTCGATTCCTGGTCAGGACACATGCCTGGGTGCGGGCTGGGTCTCCAGATCGGGGCATGCAGGAGGCTTGTCCATTGGTGTTTCTCTCCCTCTCTTTCTCCCTCCCTTCCCATCTTTCTAAAAATAAATAAATAAAATCTTTAAAAAAAGAAAAAGAAAAGTATGATGTGTGCTGGTAACTTGCTGTTTAGCTAGAATGTGAGCTTGGAGGGCAGGAAAGCAGGAAATGGGAGTAGAGAGGAAACAGGAATCATACTAAAGAGTTTGAACTTTATCCCCAAAACAGTGAAGAGTTATTGAGGAATTTTAACAAGAGGATGTCATAATTAGATTTGTGTTTTAAAAAGTTTTTTTTTAGCCTTACCCGGTGTGACTCAGTTGGTCACCATCCCACAAGGCAAGGTTGCCGGTTGGATTCCCTGCTGGGGCGCAGGCCTGGGTTGCGGGTTCAGTTCCTGGTTGGGGCCCATGTGAGAGGCAACCAATCAATGTTTCTCTCTTGCATCAATGTCTCTTTCCCTCTGTTTCTCTCTCCCTCCCTCCCCCTTATTCTAAAAATAAATAAATAAAAGCTTTTTTTAAGATATTTCATAATATGAAATTTTGAACTTCTCATTTTCTATATTTTATTTTATTTGAAGACAGATTCACCTAAATATCTGAGTTATGAATTTCCCCCATGGATACTATGCATTTTAGTGATAAGCACTTTTTTAAAGAACCCTAAATTTCTCAGACTATACATTTACTCTGCTCCTTGGCTGCTGTTGTGTGCCAGAAGAGCCAGCAGTCCCCTCTTTCCCATAGTGTGTTTAATAGTCTAGATCCCCTAGGTCCAGGGTTTTCAAATCCCAATCACTGACGTACAGGAGTACGGTTATAGCTTGATGTTTCGGGAGCCACCTGCCCCCACCTGGCCACTTTCTTCTCAGCAGTTTTGTGGATGTGGATGCTGAGGGCAGCCGGATCAAATCATGTCGGGATTTGAGGGCTGGTTTTTTTCTGCTTCAGGCCCTTACACATGTTTTTATTTGCCTCAAATGCTCTCTGTCCGCTCTCCTCCCACAACATAAGCACTCTGACTCCAGTCTACCCTCCACTTATTTTCTGAGACAGGCCTGCCTCGACCCTCTGATGTGAAATTATATCTTCTTATTTGACTACACGTGCTGGCCCTGCCCTCTTATTTACTCCCTCCTCTGCTGGACTGTAACCTCTGGGAGAGCAGGGTCCTATCTGTTTGGTTCATTTTTATTCCCAGCATATGGCCCATGGGGAGCAGTCAGTAGATATTATTGAATGGATGAGGATCTGCCTATGACAGCAGCTCTTATTGCCCTTCAGGTCAGGGAAAGTAGATTTAAGCCCTAGCGCTTTAAATCCTAAAACCGTGAGTCTGAGCAGTAGTTTGATTCTTGCATGGGTATTGTAAGAGCACGAATTTATAATGATTTTTCAGACTGATACTACATTGTCTATTGATTTATATTTAGAAATGTTTTCAAGATTTTGAAAGCATGCTGTAGCATGTTTTCATACTGCTGTAGCATAGCTGTTAAGAGCGCAGGCTCTCGAGTTCAGACTGTGTAAGTTTCAATGCCCCAAAACAGTGTGATATTGGGAAAATTATCTAAACATCCTGAGCTTCATTTTCTCTAGCTGTAAAGCGCAACTGAATCCTTTCAGGATTTCTTTGTGAGAAATAAGATGTTTGTAAAGCATTCCATTTACTCCTTGAAACATAGTAGTTGCTTAAAAAATTGTAATCGCTATTCCTATTATCATTAGGAATATTATCATTATCATTTTCACATATATTTTAGAAATACCCCTATGGGAAGTAATTGGTCCTGTAGCCTAACAAATCACATACATCCTTTTATTCATTCATTCATTCATTCATTCATTTAAGATTTTATTTCTTTCGGACTTCTGGCCAAGATGGAGGCATAAGTAGACACACTGTGCCTCCTTGCACAACCAAAATAAGGACAACAAAAATTTAGAACAAAAAAACAACCGGTACTGACAGAAAATTGAACTGTATGGAACTCCGACAACCAAGGAGTTAAAGTAGACATATTTATCCAGACTGGAAGGAGGGCCAGAGCCGTGCAGCCGGGCGGAGAGGGGTTGCAGCAAAAAAAGTGGTGGGTGGTGGACCTGGGCACACAGGTGGCAGCGGACAGACCCAGTGAGGCGGTGGGTTGTGGAGGGACCTAGCACACGAGGTGGCTGGTGGACCTGGCTGCGCAGGTAAACCAGGCAAAACTGGAAAGCAAGACAGACCTCGCAACCCAGGGTCCCAGTGCGAGGCAATAAAGCCTCAAAACACCAATTGAAAACACATGTGGAGGTTGAGGTGCCAGGAGCAACTCTCAGCCTCACGGGAGAGTTCATTGGAGAGACCCACAGGGGCCTAGAACGTACACAAGCCCACCCACACGGGAATCATCACCAGAAAGGCCCAGTTCGCTTGAGGGAAGCAGGGAAAGTGACTGAGATCCGGCAGGGAGTGGAGCAGGCACCATTGTTCCCTCTTGGACCCCTCCCCCACAAACAGTGTCACAACCCAGGGACTGGGTTAACCCACCCTGGTGAACACCTAAGGCTCTGCCCCCCACTACCTAACAGACACATCAAGACAAAAAAAAAAATGGCCCAAAGGAAAGAACAGATCAAAGCCCCAGAAATAATACAGCTAAGCGACAAAGAGATAGACAACCTATCAGATGCACAATTCAAAGCACTGGTGATCAGGATGCTCACAGAATGGGTTGAATTTGGTCGCAAATTAGATGAAAAAATGAAGGCTATGCTAAGTGAAATAAAGGAAAATGCACAGGGAACCAATAGTGATGGGAAGGAAACTGGGACTCATATCAATGGAATGGACCAGAAGGAAGAAAGAAACAACCAAACAGAAAAGAAGGAAGAAACAAGAATTCAAAAAAATGAGGAGAGACTTAGGAACCTCTAGGACATCTTTAAACATTCCAACATCCGAATTATAGGGGTACCAAAAGGGGAAGAGGAAGAGCAACAAGTGGAAAAGTTATTTGAACAAATAATAAAGGAGGACTTCCCCAATCTGGCAAAGGAAATAGACTTCCAAGAAGTCC